CATATGGAGCGTTTACGCGCGTGATCATCCACTAATAATAAAAACAAACATGACAGTCCAGTCCAAGGTTTGACCGGACTCCACACAAAGAAGTTCACTCAATATGTTCTAAATTTTTTGGATTTCTGTATTCCCATGTATCCTTGGTAGGAAAAGATGTACAATAATAAGATTATTACGAGGATTACGCAAAATATGCATTCAGACAGTACGCCGTCGCATCGGTGCGTCAGCCGATACTCCTGCTGTACTGTCTTTGTGCATACTTTTTGGTATCCTCGTAATAACCTCATATTATTACTATAGACATACCTATGCCATTTATATGCACATTCACTACTATGGTATGTTATTATATTTCTACCAAAATAAAATTAACCATTCCATAAAAAGTTGTATCTGCATTTGTGCATACTTTGCGATATTGTTGTGATTAACCTTGTATTATATAGAGATACCGGTACATGTTTAATCTCTCACAAAATACCAATGTTAACTTTTGGGTATGTCGCCTTTCACAAAATATATCTTTCCTTTTCTTTGTGATCAAGGGAGAAATTTTTTTCATTTCATCCAAAATTAACATAAAAAGTACTGAATATACATAGCTGCCAGTAGTATGGGACCCATATATCTAATACACGGATTGCCACATTGACCACAGTCCGTTGCAATCTTTGGCAAATAAATGAACCGTCTGTGATGTGTGTTCGTGTGCGAAACTTACCCATGCCATACTTTGTGGCTTTTTCTTTGAATCCCCATGGATAGTTAGCCAATCCAGTGATCAAATCCAGTGGATATTTACTGGTGTTTATCATCGGATTAAGGTTATGTACGTTATAAGACACAGAATGCACAGGCATACGACCGGCGTACGAGTATAACTGTTTTGATTCTTGCGTGTTTGGTCTCGTGTAACGTGGGTTACTGATGAATCCTTCGTCATGTACGGCACATATTGGTATGTCAAGTAAACCTGTAAGCGAGAAAATAAAGATGACCTTAGTTTAAGTTTGAAATCATTCGTTCGTGATGGTACTGTGCGTGAAACCTGCCTGAATATTATTATCTTGAGTTGTTAATGAGGCATTAGCCAAGTCTTTAGAGAGGGGACCAGATCCCCATGAGATTTTAATACCATCTCATCTGACAGAGCACTTAAGTTTCACACTTTAGCTGTCCTTTTGGCGCAAAGGATTATGAACTAAGAATAGTTAACTAGTTATCAAGAAAAAAGCCTGATGAATGCGTGTTTTTTTTTTTGCATCGCTTATTTGCTGTTTCAAAAATGTTGTATAAGTTGTTGTTTTGTTTTTTTGACAAGTTCAGTGCAGTGTCATGATCTTCACGGTATGGCTTGAGGCTGTGTAAATTAATGCATAGTGTTTTCAAGAGAGACCCATAGGGTATGTGTTGCCATGCATGACTAGAATGAGATACAAATATATGCAGGAATCCAAGGACTTTAGTTTAATCTTCTGCAGTCGGTTGGCTCACTGACATTTTCACACGCAATTTAGAAGTCATGGCATTGCATATTTTGCCAAGCAAAGTGCCTGTCTACTGTCGTTATTTGCATTTGCTGCTAATTTATACTTGCGTGTATTTTCAAAATGGCATAATTTGATCAAATACAACTAAGCTCTGATTATTTTGTGTTGACAGCGTCTTGTCATTTTTACGCATGAATAAGAAAGTACAGGACAAGAATTGTTACAAGTTTACGACATAATTTTACATCTTAATTAGCTAAACAGGGCTTGTAAAAGGTAAAACAGTTTCAACCACAGTAGTTCTTTTACCCATAACTAACTTGTTTAATCCTTTGTGGTCAAAGTTTAATTCTGGTACCTTTCACAAAATAGTTCCATTTATAGTCTGCGAAAAATGTTGATAAAAAAAAAAAAGAAGCAATGTCACATTGTGTCTGATTAAATTCAGTAAAAATTACAGAAATTTACTCAAATTAAGCGGGGAGAATTTTTTCTTGTATTCTTCAATATTTCTGGAAATGTACACTAATTTTGGAGCCAACAGACAAAATTTTAGTCTTTTTTTACTCAAAAAATTTGGCTGTTTTTGTCCAAATCTTCTGAAAGAAAATGCAGACTATAAACGGAACTATTTTATGCATTTGTGATGAAAAAGGGAAACTGGTGATGAAAAGGTTAACCTGTATATTGTATATTATATTGTAAATAAGAATGTTAGAAATCTGATTAA